TTTTTGTTTTTTTTTTTGTTTTTTTTTAATTGTTTTTTTTCCATTTTTTTTTTTTTTTTTTTTTTTTTTTTTTTTTTTTGACTGATAAAATTTTTTTAAAGTTTAATATTTGTTTCTACATTGTAAATCAAAATATGGAAGTACAGCAGTAATTCTAAAGATGTGGTCCACTAAGATTGAAACTGATTACGTTCAAGGTTCGACAAATTAGGCATGGCTATCAAACGTAGCGTGCAAAGTAATCGGCAATGGGACGCAGAGGACCACCAGAAACACACACAAACACACACGCACAAAATGAATGTTAACAAAATGCGTCTTATACCTTCTGTCATTATTTTGTTAGCACACTGAATGAAATAGAAATATCACTTTGGAACACTATGGCCAAACGTTTGCCGAACCCTGATTTGCTATACAGTGATAGTTTAAATTTTTTTTTTTTTTTTTTTTTTATTTAACAAACTAAATAAAATTTTTTATACTAATTTTTTTTTTCAAATTTTTTTTTTTTAAATATTGCTTGACATAGGGATTAAGAAAAAAAATGCTACCCAGTTGAAAGGTGGCACATTTGAAAATAAAATTAGATTCAAATACAGGATTTTAATATTTTAAACATTTTAAAAAAAATGCTTTAAATCTTCACCAAACTTAAGAGGAAGGAGAGATGGAAAGAGAGATGGAAGGCGAGTTGGAATGAAAGAAGGAAGGAGAGATGGAAGGCGAGATGGAAGGAGAGAAGAAAGGAGAGATGGAAAGCGAGATGGAAGGAGAGATGGGAGGTGAGATGGAAGGCAATGGGGAGAATGACGCCAACATAAAGATAGATGACGATGGGCAGGAGGAAGCCACGTGCTGAGAACGCTATTCCAGAGGACGTAAATTTAGATCCTGCTATTGCAGATAATGCAAGTTTGGTGCCTGCTACTGCAGATAATGCAAGTTGTATAGCCATCTCTCGACCTATGCGTCTTCCAGTTCTACTATTATGCTAAATACAAGCGATCTGATGCAATCCAAGAAATGCTCTGTCAAGCCTGGGATTAGCATTAATGCTACAGATTCTCAGGGCAGAAGCGCCCTAATGTTGCCTAATGAAACGCATGACAGGTGCGCTCAAGAGATTCTCCTCGCCAATGGCGCTTTGTAAGTCGAACATCTCGAACATCTTTTTACTTTTAATTCGGTTTGTGGGAGAGGGGGGATGTGGGGGGGGGGGGCGGGTTAGGTTACTATTGACTGAGAAATTATTTTTATAAATTTACAGATTGAATTGTCCAAAAAGGTATATTTTATTTGAATTTTTAAAAAAATCTGTTTACTTCAGACCACCACCAACTACTCCACCAATCTCGGATCTCCTGAAATCTGAACCCAGTCAAGACGTTCGCGTGAGGCAAGTCTTCGAGACCGCATGTCTCAACTACAGCGATCCAGAGTTCCTCAGCGTTGTCCTGACAGAAGGCGCCATCGGCGACAACGGGCTAAACGAAAATGGACAGTCGGCCTTAATGATGGCCGTAGAGGACATCATAAGAAATTTATCAACCCCTGCTGTGGCTGTAATTTTTCTTCTCACTTAAACAACACTACTAGCTGTGCATTGCAATAAAGAATACCCAACACTAACAGCTCTGCATTGCAATATAGAAATAAGAGAATATATATATATATATATATATATATATATATATATATATATATACATATATATATCCAACGCTGTCAGCTGTGCATTGCAATAAAGAATACCCAACACTACCAGCTCTGCATTGCAATATAGAATACCCAACACTACCAGCTCTGCATTGCAATGTAGAATACTCGACACTACAAGCTTTGCATTGCAATATAGAATACCCAACACTACCAGCTCTGCATTGCAATATAGAATACCCAACACTACCAGCTCTGCATTGCAATATAGAATACCCAACACTAGCAGCTCTGCATTGCAATATAGAATACCCAACACTACCAGCTCTGCATTGCAATATAGAATACCCAACTCTACCAGCTCTGCAATATAGAATGCAACATACCAGTGTCATAATAAACTTCTGAGAGGAAGTAACAAAATACAGACTAGGGGAAGCTAATCTCGTTTGCTCGTATTTTTGAACAGCTGTGCGTGTCCTTGCAGGTGAATGGTAGTTCTGTCATGGTCTTGAAGCGTGGCCGTGTTTGACCACCCGGCGCCCTTTGTCAGGCTCAACAATGGACAACTACTGGACCCCCCTGGGTGGACGCTATGGGTTGTCCACCCTTGTTCGACTGTAACTTGTCGGGCCATTGTTGTTTTACTTCTGCACGTCAAAGGGTTATCACCTTAAACAGCCCTGCTGGACGAGGTAATGTGTTGACCATTGAGTCCATGGCTTGACAACGCTGCTGGACGCACTGTTTAATTCACCCAGGATGGATTTGATGGATTGGGGGGGGGGGGATCTTGAGTACAGAAAACCGAGGCGTTTATTATTTCAGTAAAACATAAACATACGGGTCAAGAGAAGTTGGTTTGACTTCTAACACCCAGCAATCGTATCATGACCATTGACAACGCTGCTGGACGCACTGTTTAATTCACCCAGGATGGATTTGATGGATTGGGGGGGGGGGGACCTTGAGTACAGAAAACCGAGGCGTTTATTATTTCAGTAAAACATAAACATACGGGTCAAGAGAAGTTGGTTTGACTTCTAACACCCAGCAATCGTATCATGACCATGTCAAGGAGTGTGTGTGTGACCTTTAATTTTCATTCCTTTTTTGGTGTTATTTATGGTATAAAACCTTGCTAGATGTGTAGGTTTGGTGGAAGATCTTCGTGTGTTGTCACATCCAGGCGTGTTAATAGCAAAGAAGCATTTAGTGGTGTGTTAAGGACTTTGAAAACATTTGAAATCCGAGTAATCACTTTCAAAATCAGATTGAAACATCGGGGTAAAGAACAGAAGAAATTCTGATTTGAAGAAAAGGGAATATTTTGTGACCAGTGGAGTAACAGGCATGACAGACAGGCCTGCTGTTTAAAAAGAACATTACAGATAATCTAGAGGCCGCCACCTCACCGTCTCTCTTTAGTGACCACCTCACTGTCTCTCTATAGTCATCACCTCATTGTCTATAGTTAACGCATCACTGTCTCTCTTTAGTGACAACCTCACTGTCTCTCTTTAGTGACCACCTCACTGTTTCTCTTTAGTTACCGCACCCCTGTCTCTCTTTAGCCACTACCTCACTGTCTCTCTTTAGTCACCACCTCATTGTCTCCCTTTAGTCACCACCTCACGGTCTCTCTTTAGTCACCACCTCACTGTCTCTCTTTAGTCACCACCTCACTGTCTCTTTTAGTCACCACCTCACTGTCTCTCTTTAGTCACCACCTGATGTGGTGGATGACAGTCAGGTTTCACTTGATTAGTCTCAGGATGTGGTGGATGACAGTAATGTTTAACTTCATTAGTCTCACGCAGTGTGGTACCTTGACTTAATGACATGGGCTCCCCCAACACATCCCAAAAGGGCGCCCCAACACACATTTTATATAGTATACGTATAAACTGAAAATGTGCAAGTCGGAGCAGTGACCCCATCCCCTCCCCCCCCCCTCAATCTTTTAAGTTCACCACTGGTCCTACTGAGTCCTACGACAGTTTTTTACTTGCGTGTATTTTCTAGTAACCACGAATCTGATAAAATATTACCATTGAAAATGTTTCCTATCAAATGTTTAGGGGGGGGGGGGGGGGGGGGGGGGGGAGCTCCTCAATGATCCCAAGTCAATAAGAAGTGTTGGGTCATAGTTCAATGACCGCTGGGCTTTCATCTCTGTCAACTTATATTTCGTTGTTTTTTTCAATCAGGGAATGAATGGGTTAAATCAAATGTAGAGCTAGGTCAATTTTTATGATTATATTTTCTACATTTTTAAGCTACCTATTAACCTACAAAATCTGAACTAATCATCTATGCAAAGACGTTTTGTTTAAATTGCCAACGTCTCCTTAAGTGGTTTGTCTATGGTTTAAAATATGGGGTAAAGTGAGCTAATATACCAAACTGGTCTGACCAGGTCAATGTTGACTGGGAGGTACAAGACTAGACTGACCAGGTCAATGTTGACTGGGAGGTACAAGACTAGACTGACCAGGTCAATGTTGACTGGGAGGTACAACACTAGACTGGTCCGACCAGGTCAATGTTGACTTGGTGATACAAGACTAGACTGGTCCGACCAGGTCAATGTTGACTTGGAGTTACAAGACTAGACTAGTCTGACCAGGTCAATGTTGACTTGGAGTTACAAGACTAGACTAGTCTGACCAGGTCAATGTTGACTTGGAGTTACAAGACTAGACTCGTCTGACCAGGTCAATGTTGACTTGGAGTTACAAGACTAGACTAGTCTGACCAGGTCAATGTTGACTTGGAGTTACAAGACTAGACTAGTCTGACCAGGTCAATGTTGACTTGGAGTTACAAGACTAGACTCGTCTGACCAGGTCAATGTTGACTTGGAGTTACAAGATTAACTAATTATAATGATGAGGAGAGCCAGGTGTCTCTCTCCATATTTTTAGTTTGAAACACACTGTATTAAAAAGTGGTTGACAACTTTATTTCTCCACATTCTCCAAGAGAATTATAAACTGTCTTCTCTCTGCTTGATGTCCCACTGGTAATTGCAATGCTTTTTATTTTTAGGTTAGGTTACTCTTCCTACATTCACTGTCTAATATAACATATGATGACAATATTGCACAGTTCATGAATAAGCAAAACTCAAGAAATGAACGAACTGAAAGGCAGATTTAATACAAGTGTAAAAATATGAGTCACAATAGAAAAGTTAAAGCATTCTTTTTATAAACATAATCAATTTCAAGATGGACAGGTCAAGAAATCTTCATTTGGCAACCTTAACACAACTTTCAAATTCTAGAGTTGATTAGAAAACATAATGCTTCAGCCAAAAACAACAGCACCTGGGGTATTTGGTTTATGATTGGGGTATTTGGTTTATGATTTGTATGTGAACACTAAGAAATTAATATTTCATCAATCATAGTTGATCTCAACATTCTTAGATTAAGTACAGATACCGGGCCTGTGGTAAACATGGGAACTGACAATAGAAGTTAGGTTTTGTGAACAGATACAAGAATTTGTTTTAAAAGGCAAATAATATTGGAATGCCTTAAATTACTTAATATAATATACCGGTAATATATTCCATCTAAGGACATCAATTCTATCACATTGTAATAACTTAAGTGGATATGTAGCAGTAAATTAAAAAAAGGTTCAACAATATCACAACATGACAAAGCTAATGCAACTTAATTTTGTCCCATTTTAAATTATTATTAAAATTCCTTCAGTCCATCTGACATCATTATCTAGATATGTAACATAACTTGCAAATATCAGGATTAGCTTCTTGGTTATTAGCGATTTGCTGAACCTTTTTCTATTTAACCAATGGAATGATTTAATATGTAGATTTCATGTGATGATTCCGTTTTTCTCAACATGTAAACATGCCAGACAAATGGGCTGGCTGGATGTCACAATGGTGCTATACACACATATACAGTCTGACTGTACACATTCAATTTAATATCACAACTTTCTTTTTAAGAAGTATACTGTTATATTTCAAGATTATACTGCAAAATCGATTTAATATCTTTATAGTAAAATTAACAACCTCATCTTGACTATGTAATCAGATCGCATCATGGCCCACCTCTCATCATTGAGCAGCAAGACTCGTTACTATTGATACAGCTTATGTACAGGGTCCAATAATGTATTTACAAAACATGGCAACATCATTGTTGCAGCGAACAAATGCAAATTTCAACGAATGATTTTCTACCTTTTGGAAAAAAAGACAGTAATAGATTTCTAAACTGATAAGGATGACATACAAAAAAAATAAATAATTTCATAACAAGTAATGATGTTTCACATTATTGTAAATGGCAGGTGCAACAGGAAGAAATGTATCAAGTTTTGATTTCAGGTAAAAAAAACTAATATTAAAAAGTTGAATTAACAAAATAAAAATATTTAAAAATGAAATTGTATCAAGGAATTATAAAAAATAAAGACTTGAATTAAATAACTTTTACTTTGGTGACATTCGCTCAATTAGCCCAGAAATTTTTTTTACAGATTGCTAAAAATGCACACATAGCACTTCAACCAACTGGGGAAAAATATTATCAGAAAACGTGTATATACAATTTTGTTGATATTATTCAAAGTAAATAAATTCAATATGTTATTAAAACCATTTCTAGAGAATCTGCCCTTGAATAAAAAGCATTTAAAGAAAATAAACTTATGCACACTCATTTAACTTTCCAATTGAAATAAAATATTTAAAATAGGAATATACTGATGGATCCATTCACAAAAATATCAGTGCAGTCAAATGGACCAACTAAAAGTAAGAGAAAACACAGCATTAAAGTTCATCTTTTTTCTTGATCCAGTCCTTGACAGAGTCGATGTCATCTTCAACCTCATCCTTGTTGAAAGAAGGGAGAGAACTGAAAATGCAATTAAATTTTTTTTTTGTTAGCATTAACCTCTTGATAAGGTATGGCAAAAATTGTTCAGTTATAGCTATAGCCATATTTGTCATTCTAGAACATCATATTTTATAAGCACAATATCAGATGTTAGCAACAAAAGCAAACACGTCAAATTCACATTTCTGTAACTAGAGTGACAATGCTGCTTATGTATAATAATAAAGTTCTTAACACCACAGCGAAATACATTTGGATTAAAACTAATACTTTTTTGTTGGTTTTTACAAAAGGATAATCCAATTTAATTATTGTCATCAATTTTAGTTAAGTAAAAGATTCTCTATTTCTACCTAAAAGCATTTTATTTGCAAAATAGATAAACCGTTGACTTTATTCTCAGATTGCAACCAGCTGCTTAAGATATTGAGATAATTTTCCAAGGTCAGTGGTTATGTTTTGTCAATCACACTGTGTTGCAGATTCCTCAGCTATTTACAGCATAGAACGCTGTATCAATTGTGATGGACCAGAAGTGATTAGATTTTATCATTTTTATAATAATCATTCAGAAAGGACTAATGTGTGAATATATTTCTAAGAAGAACAATTTAAAAAAAATGAAAACTGGTTTATATGGGATTTCTGTCACTAATAATTACTTTGCCAAAACAATGATATAAAACTTTTACTATCTTACATTCCAGTAGAAGTTGAATATATTAGCTGAAGCTGTTCCTGGCAAAATAATTTTAACATAGTAACATAGAATGGACAAATAATGAGCAACTTCAAATTAATCCTTTTTGTAAATTAAAAAAACTAAATTAAAACTCTTTAAGCAACTTACTTAACAATAGCTCCTGATACTCTGTCTAGAATTCCACCTGGTGATAAATAAGATTATTTTTTAAAAATTGTAAATTCTCGTAATTGAAAAGCAGTCACTTGATAAGGGCAGGAGGAAAGAAAAATTTTCTTCAAAGGAAAAATCTAAGATTTTCACCAAGCGCAAACTGTGGGGTCCCCACTGCATGTTCTCTTTGACCAAGTTGACATATTAAAAGACGTTTTTTAAAAACAGCAAATTTTAATTGTGCATGTCTATGAGTAATCAAAAGATAAGTTTCAAAACAGTCCCACGACTTACCTGCTGTACACACAGTGTTGCAAAATGCATCACAAAGGTAGCAGAATTTACAGTACTGAAAAGTTTGAAAAACACAAATTCAATTTTAATATTTGACTTTTTTTAAAAAGGAAAAATAACAGTAACAGACAAAGTTAATTAGTTCATTAACTTTAGTTTGAGGTAATATTACATCTAATGTGCACTAAGGAACAACATAGAGAAAGTGAGGAAAGACAATCTGTTGTGTAATTTTCATTAGTAATCCCCTGAAAATTAGCTGTGGTCCCTGGCAAACCACAGACACCAGTTTCAGAAACACTGTTTTAACATAAAGTAAAACATTCCATATGTTTTCTTCATCAATTTCCAGTTTATCATAATATATCAACTTAAAATATTGCAATACTTTTTATATTCTGTTCTAATGAGCATTGCCAGAAAATTTTACACATATTTTAATAAAAATGGGGTATAAAAAGGCTTAAAAAATATATATATAAACTTATTCAATAGCGAATTCTGTTTTAGCAAGCCAAATGAAACAATGCTGCTTCTGCTGAATTAAGTTGCAATAGAAATAGAACAGAAGTTTAATATGTAGATATTACTTTTCAAAAATACATTTCATATATATAAGAATGAGCTAGGCTGACCGTAACACCAAAGAACCAAAAAGATTTAAATACGTTAGGATTCTTAAAAACAATCATAGTTATTTTCTATTATTTTACTAAAAAAATTTGAATTAGTTTAAATGCGCAAATAATGTTATATAATAATAATAATAATTAGTGGTCTTATATAGCGTGGTACCCCAGCCTAGGGCTGGGCTCACCGCGCTGTACATAAATATAGCAAAGAGGCATAATCATAATATTAAAATAAAATACATAAATGAAATAAAAACAACATATAAGCAAAACAACACCCGAGGTATATTCACCCACCCACACCAGAAATTTTTACAAGGAAACCCATGTACGTTTATCGGTTTATAGGAGGGGAATCAGTCAGAGTAGTATAGTTTAAATAGATGTGTTTTGAGTGCAGTTTTGAAGGCCTGTGTGGTTGTTATATTGCGGATGTGTAGTGGCAAAGAATTCCATTGTTTGGGGGCGCAGAAAGAGAAAGATCGTTCACCATATAATTTAGTGTGTGTCTTGGGAACGGACAGAATACGCGAGTCTGCGGAGGAGCGAAGTTGTCGAAGGGGTGAATAGACAGAAAGAAGTTCAGTTAGATAGGAAGGGCAGGAATCCGAGAAAAAGTTGTGACAGAGAAGAGACAGCTTGTAGTCAATGCGTGCCTGTATAGGGAGCCAATGTAGTGAGTGGAGTAGTGGAGTGACGTGATCGCGTTTTTTTGCCTTAAGAACAAGCCTAGCAGCAGAGTTTTGAACTTTCTGCAGTTTTTCTATAAAATGTTTCGGTGAACCTGACAGAAGTGAGTTGCAATAGTCAAGACGAGAGAGAACAAGAGCACAGACTAGAGTTTTTGTTGCGCTAACTGTGAGGTAGTGGCGGATGGAGCTGATCTGACGGATGGCGGTGTATGTGGAAGAGTTGAGGTAGAGGATGATTTGTGATTGTAAATGAGGAGTGCTTCTGTTTTGTCATCATTAAGCTTCAACTTGCTGAGTGTCATCCAAGACTTGACATCATCAATGCACCCCCGCAAAGTCTGGACAGCGGAATCGACAAGAGATGGATGGGTATGCATGTATAGCTGCGTATCATCTGCAAATGACTGGTTCTCAACAGCATGCCTCCCAAGCAAGAGGAGCAGTGGCCTGGTATACATTATGAATAGAACCGGACCCAAAACGGACCCCTGTGGCACTCCGTACACCAAATCAGCACTGCCGGAGAGACAGCCATCGACAGAGACCATTTGCGTTCTATCAGAGAGGTAGGACCTAAACCAAGCCAAAACCGAACCAGAAATTCCAAAGTAGTTTTCAAGGGTTTTGAAAAGGATTTCATGGTCAACAGTGTCAAAGGCCGCACTGAGGTCTAAGAGGATCAAAATGGAGACATTACCGCTGTCCATTGCGCGCAAGAGGTCATTACTGACTCTCAAGAGAGCTGTCTCTGTGCTATGGAAATGTCTATAGGCCGACTGATTCCGCTTTTATTTTAGTAAAAGTTTAAGTATTATTATTATAAATTACAAATACATTTAAAGTATCAACTAAGGAACTATCTTAAGCATTTTATATGCGTTTGAAAGTTATAAAAAAAATTAAATACAAAAATTATGATCAAAGAATCACATTTATCAGGAAAACCTAAACATTAGTTGTTTTTAGTGTGTTTTTTAGTGCGTTGTTAATATTGCGAAATGAAATTAAAATTTATTTTTCTAAATAAACATGCAAAAACCGCGCCAAACGCCTATTTTACTCAAAACTCTAAAGTTTCTTTGATTTAATAGCCGCACGTTTGAAAACTGATAATGTATTTTCCCCTTCTTAAAATTAAAATTAATAAACATAATTGCTTTTGAAATTGTTAATAAAACTCACACAAATTTTAGCTTTCTATTTTTAAAATTTAATAAGTTTTATTTTTTTAAATTCCAAAAATATACTTTTATTTTATTTACCACATAATAAAAACTTAACCTTTAAATATAATTCTAATAAGAAAACACCATTTAAGTCAATTAGTACAGCGAAACACCATAGCCAAATAGCATACCCGAATCTACTTCTAACTTATCCAAATAATAACAAAACATATGAAGTTTAAAATATGTTAGTTTGGCTATGGAAGGGACTACAATGTGGTGGAAGATTTTATTAATTGTATTTAAATCTGTTGGGGAGGGGTCATTTTGCCCATGGATAGATTNGGGGGGTTGTTTGAGAGGATTGGTAATTTTGCACCAGGCAGCACAAGATAGGTCTCAAAATAAAGGAATGAATTTGATAAATAATTACTTTTCATGGCAACATACACACCGGAGGTAGGAAATAAGATGTGTACATGTTTCTAAATTAAAGATTTTTATTCACAATTTTAAAAAAAAAAAAAAAAATTGTAGTTCAAGGGCACAAATAGGGGTAAATCTAAAGTATTTCTCTAGCGTATAAATCACAACTACTTTAGTGACAAAAGTTATATAATTAGTGATAATTTAGATTGGGTAATTTAAGGTCATGTTTCGAGGGGGGGGGGTGGTTTAGGGGCATGAAAGGGAGAAGGGTAGGCATACAATATATGGCAGATAAATACTTCTCAAAACTTTAACGTAAATATCATTACATAGATACCTCTTTTTAAAGTTATGAATTGTGGTGAGTTATTGCTATAGCAGGTAGAAATTATCGCAAATACCTACCATTATTATCCCGATAACATCGGGTCATATATTCTAGTATACAATAACATAGGTAACTACTTTGCATTCTTTTTAACACAAAATTTCAAAAATGTTTGATAAGCATATATTTAAAAGGCAGGCATCTCTAACTTTACTATTTCTGGACTTATAAATTTAACTAATATATTTCATTCTCAACAGCATTAAGAGGTTAAAAGTCTCATAAACCTTAAATGAAATAGCAAAAGGAGGTATGTGGAAGCTTGAATTTAAGGACAGGACAATAAGATTAGAAAGTTTCGGCATAGAGCCTACCTCAGCGCACAGGACAAATGAAAATATCACAAGGAAAAGAGCACAGTAAACAACTCAAGAAATATCCATTGTTGTTGCTGCCAGAAGTAGGGTTACTGGAAGTGAGAGACTATAAATATTGACACAGTGAAAAATAAGGTCAACAATAATAATGGACCAGAATATCCAGGGATACATAAACACACAGCAATAAGAAAATATTAGAAGTACAGGGAAACAGAGAAACAGTAGGATAGTATTTGATAATACCATGAGATATGGTGCCAAACATCTGAATAAATTTATTTTGCATTTTAACCCTCTCTGGTGTGTTACTGCATGAAATCAGTGCCGTAATGATTACATCTAATGCATCTTTATGTTCATCTCTCTTGAAATGTGAAGAGACTGGGGAAAGTTTACCCTGTTCAATATCTCGGCGATGTTCCGTGAATCTATCAGCCAATCTTCTCCCAGTTTCACCTATGTAACTAGGCATCTACGGCACACAATCGCATATATTACATTACTGCTGACACAGGTGAAACCCTCTTTAATGGTAAAGGTACCTTTAGGGAGGCTAATGCTTTCAGTTTTGAGTGTAAAGGGACAAGTCCTACAGCGGTTTCTTAAGCATGGTTTAGTACCAAAGTAAGACGGTTCAGATCGAAGGCGACTATAAACCAGAAGGTCACCTAGATTTTTGTCCCGTCTAAAGACAATCAGTGGAGGGGATGAGAAAATCCTGTTAGTAATCGGGGTCAGCAAGAAGTATGCTACGATTTTTTAGGAATATTTTTTTGCCAGTTAAATTGTGAGGGTAGTAGGTTAGTATAAGTTTGTTAAGATCTTCATTGTTGTTTTGAAGAGTTTTGAAAGCATCTTTCCATGTGATAGTGATGATGCGACCTAGTGCTGAGACAAGAGTACAAGAGTAGTTTCAGGATAGGATCTGGAGTGGAAGAAATCCATCATTTAATCAGTTCTGTCCAAAAATTCTTCATCAAGTTGGCAGAGATGCCGTAATCTAAGAAGTTGTGAGAAAGGTTATAGAGTCTTTGCATGATTTGGGGTGGGAGGATGAGTATAATAGGTAACTATGGCTGTCAGTTGGTTTGTAGTAGGCAGATTTGGTTAATTCATTTTCTTTCAATGTTATGGTGATATTGAGAAAGTTGACAGACTGTCCAGAGATTTTAGAAGTAAATTTTATGGATGGATTAAATGAGTTTAAAAAATCTATAAATTTTGGGGGTCATTAGTTTCCATGCTGGTGATACCTATGCCCTCATCTATGTATCTCCTATAAAATTCAGGAATACGGTCAGTATATGCCCTCTCTACCAAATATTCAAAATGACCCATAAATAGGCAAGCATAGCTAGGGCCCATTTTGGTGGCCATGGCTACCCCACTGATTTGGTCAAAGAAATGGCCATTCAATTCAAAGGAGTTGAGGTTAAGTACCAGTTCAGCCAATCTGATCATAGTGTCAGTAGGGATAGGGGAGTGTGGTTTATTTTCTAGGAAAAATCTCAAGGCCCTAAGGCCATCAGCATGTGGGATTGATGTGTACAAGGAGCAGACATCAAGTAAAAACAGTGAGTGTTTTGTGTCAGGGTTGATGTTCAGAGAATTAAATGTCATGAAAGCATGGTTAGTGCCTTAAATTTCATTTACTTAGCTTGAATGCAGTCCTTTAATTATTATAATTATCATTAACCTTACCTTGCACATTTTACAATTGGGCTTTGTTTTGCTGGTTTCACAAGGACAGTCGTCACATAGTTTGCAAAACTGAGAAAATTGTGAAATTTAAATCATTAAAATAATCCTATTTGATTTGAACTGTAAATTGTAATGAGAACCCATTGAGGTGATACAAAAGAGTATTCCTATTTAATACATGAAAATGACAGCAGTATTATCATTTAACACAAATACTTGGCATTTTTTTAAAGAAAAAAAAACAGCAGAGAAATAAATATGTATAACTTTATTCATTGGGTTACTGAAGTGATTACCTCACAGTAGGAGCAGTATGTACAAACTGAGCCCTTGGCATACTCAATTTTGTCTGGGTCGACTTCTGTGGTACTTTCTGTTTTAGAAGTATCGTCTACTTCAACAGTAGGTTCATCACTTAAATCTTGAGAACTTGCCAGAGCCGTTGTCAACAAAACGACCAAGGCCAAACATAAACAAAGCATGAACTTCATAGTCGATTTGAAAATTTTCTTCAAGTGGCTCTTAATGTATGAGTTTGAACTATAGCAACTGAAAATTAAAATAAATCTTTTATTACTATTATTATTGGTGTACCGTATCAAAGAAAACAAATTGAAATCAATAAATTTGCTTAAAATTAGTTAAATTCAATCAACAAAATGTAATGAATCATGCTTTCCTAAAACACTATGACAATTAAATATAGTTACTGGCCATTAACTAGCTTGTTCAGTTTGGATAAGTTGCAGTTACCTTAGCACATAAATCAGAATAACAATGATATATAGATCATATTAGTTTGGGCCATGCATAGACACAGATAATTACTTAAATCGAATTACTTAAATCTGTGTTTTAAATTAATTAAATTATATTATTGGTTGAAAAAAAAATTTTAATGAACAAAAAACACATGACTTCTAAGTGTATGGGCAACCTGCTGAAATTATAATAAATGTTGTTACCATAGCAGTGACAGAATTTTTTAAATTAAAGTTTAAAGTAAGGGTAATTCTATCCTTTTGATAGTGATCATATTCTTTATTAAAATTTATGTGCAACTCAAATAGCCATGTACATCAAGAAATTTTTTTTTTTAAATTCTGATATTTTTGTAATACTAGATCAATCAAAATAACATTTTACTTGATTAATCAATCTTATTAATTCAAAATTTAAAAATGCAATTCTTAGATGAAATTTAAATAAATATATTATTATTATTGTTTGTAAGATAACCCTGGAATTGGCATGCAGGAAACAAAAAGTATTTAATCAAGAATGTTGAGGTTTCTTACCCTGACTTATCAGTAACTACTAATTCTCCCCACTTATTCATATTCAAAATCTTTCAGGGTCTTTCACATTTGCTGACCAGCAAGTTGTCATAGCAACATGGTGAGTTACTTATGGCTACAATCTTAAACCTTTTGTTATGAAGTAATATTAAAGTCTGCTGCTGCTTGTTGTACCAAACATTCTTATGGTCTACATTTCCAGACAATAAACATCAAGTTTATGGTTTGAAGAGAGACACTAAACTGACAGGAGTGTTTTCTAAAAATAAATAATTATTCCTATATGTAAATCATCAAATATTGTAAAAAGCCTTTCTCACAAAAGCAATGCAGCCATAATTTTGAGCTTAATAACCTTCTAAACCAAAACATGTTGGAATTAATTTTAATTATTAATTGTTAATAAAAATGACATTTTCAATCATTGTTACAACTTTTTTTTGTTTAGCAACGCAAATTGTAAAGAAAACTTGTTTATTGATGCATCCAATCGTCTAGGAAAATTCAGGTGTACACTCAGCAAAAAATCTCAGCCACCAACAGCAGCCAACTTGGCGTGGGATTAAATCTTACAAAAACGGGAGGTCAAACAATACAAATTAGTAAGGTACAATTTGTGGAATAAATCTGGAATGTAAACAAATATTTTGTTGCATAACTGAATATAGCTTTCACCTTGTCTTGCAGGCTAACTTTATATTTCCTTGCCTAAATTAGTAAGGTATGTATTTATGCTATTTGAAATGGCCTACTAAATAATACAGTGTACATAATTTTTTAAATATGCTAGTGAAGCTAGTGCCTTGGCCCATTTTAATTAGTTCTACTTAATAAGAGACAAAGTTTTAAAGGAATTAAAATTTAGTATGCTAAAATAACTTATATTATATGTTCTTTTAGATTAGTGGTTTTCCACCTATTATTTATCCACCTATCATATATTATATAGGCCTTAGACCAGACCTAAGTTTATTATTAAATATGCCCACGGGTACTTCACAATGACATGACTTGTGAAGGGCCATCCATAAATGATGTCACACATTTGTGAGATGTACTGGGAGGTTTTCATTTTGTGACAATGGAAGAGGGGTGTTCAAAAATGGAGTGACGTCAGTTATGGATGGGCCATAGGTATATAGACCTAAACTCTTTTTCATTATTGAAATATGTGATAAGACATTGATTCAATCGATGATTGGGTCAGAGAACTTTTGTCCTTTATTTAGATTTTATTGTTTAAAAATATGGGCATGGGCATTTGGAAACTTTCCTGGGTTGGGAAAACCAAAAACATGTATGACTTATAATTATATAATAATAGGCCTGCTTAACTTACACCAGTAATAATATTCATTGGTCATTCGCATCTCATAAATTTTTAAAAAAAGAGAATTAAAATGGGTCATTATACGCCTGATGTTTCCCCCTATTCTACAAAGGCCGCCATATAGGTTGCCTTAACCATGCAGCCGTGTAAAAAAAACAACACATGCGTGCTAAAATTGGGAGGGGAAAGAGAGATTATGTGCTGTTTTAGCTACTTACTGAGAGAGAAAAAAAAAAAAAGAACAAAACTTTAAAATTTAAAGGGACCCCCTTTCCTGGCCTAATTTCAGCCTGTACATTAATTTCATGGAAATGGTGAAGTTAGCTACTTTATTGTAACCCTCTAGACCAGCGGTTCTCAAACTGTGGATTGTGACCCCTTTGGAGGTCTAACGAGCCTTTCACAGGGGTCGCCTAAGACCATCGGAAAACACATACTCTACAGTTATGAAGTAGCAATGAAAATAATTTTGTAATTGGGGATCGCCACAACATGATGGACTGTATTAAAGCCTGATGGCATTAGGAAGAAGAGACCCACTGTTCTAGACTCTAAGTCAATGACCTTTCCAAAAACAAAAAATCTTTGAAAAATAATGAAAGCCCAACTTACGGTATCTTAAATACACTTTTACTACACAATACTTTATTCCAGGTTCCACCATTTCGTGGTGAACATAGAAACTTTACTTTATTGTATTAAATTAAGTCCTTCTAGTTCTAGTCTCTAGACTAGACATGTGGCAAAAGTGTCAACGACCTGGGATCTCTCCTTTCCCTCAAAACCTCATTATGTGAAATAAAATTTTGTCTTGTTTTAAATATTATTATTAGCCAAGAAAGTAAATATTAATTTACAACATTCCACCATTGCAGGGTGGATTGTATTAATAGCAAAATAACAAATAAAAAGAAGTTAACCCTAGTACTAGTAATAACAATCCAAGAAGAAACAAAAGTAAAAGGGAACGGGAACTCATCCATTCCTGTGTAGCTGTGCAAAACATCAAGCATACTATTAACCGTACATCGTCTAACAAAATGAAGGCCCTACTGAATACTTGGTTGATTTGTTATTTATGTTCATTATTTAATGGATGCGGCTATTCGGACCCAGCTAGGAGAAGTGATTTGGGTTTATTAAAAAATACGAAGTGGTTATGCGCAGCCGACTGCGTATAACCCTGAGAGTTATACGCAGTCGGCAAGTCACGTGACGTCTATATTCTTCCTGTGTTACAGTATCAATCAATAAGGGGGCCTTGCTATCGGGGTGACTGTGTGGTCGAATGGTCTACACTGACCAAACCTCAAGTTGATGGTCTGGAGTTCAATTCCAGCCCACGGCAAGCCATGAATACGCGTTAGTTGCTATGCTTTTTCTCGAGAATGAAGCAACAACTAGGCTTATTGTTTTACTTTTTTTTTTGGCTAAAAAATGTTAAAACATGAGAAGAATTATTAACTTGACCAATGTAATGTTAATAATGTTATACTTATAATTATCAAATATATGTTTGTGTTGTTAACTAATTTTGTGGCAGATAAAATCATGTTTCTCTGGTACAGTAATAAAAATAATCATGGGTTGAGAGTAGCCGTAAAAAAATCGCTGTAGGGGCAGGGGTTCTGTAGAGGGGGCAGTGTAAGTAATACTTTCACAAAGTTATAGTTTTGCATGGAAGCTGAAAACTGTTACATTTAGGTCATCAAAAAAAAATAATCATAAATGATAAAATTTAAAAAGAGATAAATAGAATGTATTTCCTGAATTAGTCAGTAAAACCAACCACATAGTCATAGCAACATAAAAAAACCTAATCAATCAAAATACATAACTAGACTTAGAGCATGGAAATACCTTTAAAAAAATTTAAGACTTAGGACTTAGACTCTAAGAAATGTAGACTTTGACTTAAACTTATACTTATAATTATAATATTATAAGATACAAGCAATAATACTAATAATAGCACTAATACTAATACTATTGCTATCATCAATTTCAATATTAATTAAAATTAATTCAATTAAAATTTTACGTTAAACACATTAAAAGTTCTAGTTCAAAACAACCCATCATGCAGCTAAATTCCTAGCCGACTGTGTATAACTCTGAGAGTTATACGCAGTCGGCTGTGAATAACCCTCAGGGTTATGCGCAGTCGGCTGCGTATAACTCTCAGGGTTATATTATACGCAGCCGACTGCGTATAACGCTTCCCTAAATTAACAATGTTAAAAGCACTATTTTAAGTTATTTGAGATTAATATTATTAACAAAGAATACATATGAATAGATATTTAATTGTATTTCTTTATTTAAATAGTGAAACTTCCACTCCCACATAATAGGCCTATTAGGGAGTTTGGCCTTAGCTACCTGACACATTTGTAGCATGGAAATATTAAGGAAAGTATATTTTATCTTCATAATAGATTTAATTCAGATTTCTTTAGTATTTAGATGAAGTGATACTTTGAAATGCTTCACACACACAAAAATACTTTGTTTTATCTTTTTAAAGGCCTATCAAATGACACCATAATGTTAATCATATTAGCAATTTGTAGGCCTTAGTTGAAGCAGCACAATTCTTTTTTAATTGTAGGGATTCTATGAAAAACTTATGATACACTTAGCAAAAAGAATATAGAATTGAAAGATACCCCCTATGCAAGAAAAACTCCTACTATAATCTACATATTGTACATTTAATATCTGAAAATTGATTTGCTATCTGCAATATAGAATAAATTGACATTTTTAATGGACACATTGGTTCACCCTTCCATATGCTACTTATTATTTTTCCCCTTTTCAATATGAACAATTTGATATACATGACCCTATATTTTGAAGAATATTGTTCATGTTGTGTTCATATTGAAATATGACAAATGGAAATTTTACGGCCATTTTG